AATAGATTGGAGAGGATACTTGATGTCTTTTCCTAAATAGTTATGTTTAAACTAAACTAATAAACACACTTACATGTCTTAATTATAAAAAACAAAATATGTATAACTCTATGATACACACTATCATTTGAAATAAACCGAAAATCTTATTAGGTTAGAATTAAGTGGAAAATAATTTTTGCCTCTGGGGATTTTTAATTTATTCAGAATATTTATATAATTACCTAATAGTGAGCCCTTTGAGGTTGTTTTGTTGGAGATGATCTCTAACTCCAGACATATTTTTTTAACCAAATGTAAGAGGGTGTTGTAATTAATTTGCACACAAGAGGATTTTTTGTTGTTGTTATTTTTCTATTGCCTCATCAAGCTGCTTTTTTTTCTTTCTTTCTTTTTAAATCCATATTCCTCCCAGGGTGATTCATTGTCAGTTCGTACAGGCTTCCAAACACGTTGACTTTGGCTAAGCCTCATAAACATATAGCAAAAACTTTGATCCTACACGGGGAGCTAAGTAGTTTTGCTAACTCAGGAAAAGAATCATCTCAGAAAGTCCATTTCTGCCCAGAGTAGATGACACAGGCCATTCACTTGCATTGTCAAAAGCAGTGGCCAGCAACTTGTAATATGGTTTTTGCAGTCGCTACACTCATACCAACCCATGGAACTGTTTTCCGTGCAGCCATCATATAGAATATTGTTGAGCTATTACTTTAATAACTTATTATTAAACAATCTTAGTGCTCTATCTCAAAGAGAAATGTCTTGTCATTGAAAATAAAATGGTTGGTCAGCTCTACCTTCACAGAGCAAATGATTTAACCAGACTTGTGCTTGAGATCTGTGGAATTAGAAAAAAAAAAAAATGCTCTCACCACACACCTTTAATCCCAGCACTCAGGAGGCAGAGACAGAGGCAGAGGTGGATCTCAGAGTTTGAGACCACAGCCTGATGTGTAGAAAGAGTTCCAGAACAGCCAGGGCTACACAGAGAAACTTTATTTCACCAAAACAAAGACACGTACCTTCACTGAATTATGATCAATAAAGATGTAGCAGAAAACCTCCCTGCTAGCAGTTCTCACTGGACAAATACAGAAAAAGCAGTGGGCAAAACACTGAAAATAAGTATCAGCCAAAGAATAAGACTTTTAAAAGACAGATGTGCCCTGACATATATATTTAAGACTAAGACAGCCTTTCTTACATCAAGTGTTGCAATGGAACACCAGTTATATCATATCATGCAGTCGTTTATTCACTTAAATTATGCGCAAAAATGTAATAAAGTTTCCATATTTAAAAACAGAACCTTAGGCATCTTTTACGTGCATTAAAGTGAGTCTCACATCCAAAGCAAGGGATGCTCTAACCCATTCAAAGAGATCTCCAAATGGGGCAGAAAAAAAGGAAAAAAGAAAATAATGTTGCTATTAATTTATCTGACCTCTGGGGAAGGGGGTGGCTCAGCTGGTAGCCCAAGCCCTGAGTTAGATCGAAAGCAACACATACTATCCTTCTCTACATAAGCGAGTTCGAGGCCGGGCTGGGATACATGAATAAATAAAATGACAAGCTCCCACAAACCCACCTTCCACTACATTTGTCCTGTAGGCTCAGTGACACCATTTTGTTTTCTAGACTAGTGAAGGACCAGAAGCCTGCCTGGCCCCTCATTTAGACGGAAAGGGGAGCGTTCCTTCAGATTGCCTAGGAAAGAGCGTGTTTCTCCGTGTCTCCCAATCACCCAACGAATACGTAAGAAAGAAAGGGGAAAGCGTGGGGGAGGGGGAGAAAGGGGTTTATTGAACAAACCATGGCCAACCTGGTAGTGGGCCTTTGAGGTCTGGACTGCCCCAGAGTCTGGGCAAGTTTGCTGTAGGCTCGCTGCTCCTGGCGAACACTGGGTGGCGCTCGTGGTAAAGGCTTGCACTTCTTCAGGGCCTCCCCACCGAAGCCACCACCACACACCCTCTGCGAATTTCAGCTGCCCAAAGATGAAATTACAGGCTCCCTACGTGTCTCAGCGGGGAGCGCCTTGTTGGAGGAGTTTGATACCACGGGATTGCTTTCTCCACGGTCGGGTCAGCTGGGATTTGAGACGCACTGGCCTCGGTGTCAGATCCACCTCCACAGCACCAGCGAAAATGACTGTCCCGGCACGAGTGAACTCCAGAGTATGGGTCCAAAGTGCTGACCAGGCTCGCAGCTGGACCGGCAGCCCACGGGCCACAAGGGGTGTTTTGGGAAAATGACATGGGACTGTATATTGTGAGCAGACTCCAGGCTGTCTGCGGAGGCTGGCTGCATTTAAGGAAAGGTTGGAAGGCATCAAAGCTCACCTCAGAAAAGCAGTCAAGAAAGTTGACACTGGTGAAGTTCAAAGAGGCACCAAGATTTGCTGATTTCACCCAGAGCTGGACATGGTACAAGGGGCTCACCTTGATACAAAGGCCAGTGTTTCAGCACCCCGGGTTCTATGTTAAAGCCATTGCATCCTTTTTTTTTTCATCCCTACTCTTTTTTTGTCATTCATGAAAATTATGCATATATGTGTATGCAATATATATATATACACATGTATATATGTGTTAATATACACACACATGCAATCATATATATGTATATGCATATGTGTGCGTGTATATCTCAACTGAAAAGAGGAGACAGTGAGTAAATTTTAGCAAGATCTAGAACTATCTTACCACTATAAACTTGCCTTCAACCAGATCCCGAAATATGTCTGTAGTTTCCACTACTGGTCTCATTGAGAAGCTGTCTTTTCAGCAAGGTCCTGGTGAGGATGGCTGTGCTAACCTTATTTTCCTCCTGGTTATTACGTTTAAATCCCTATTAAATAGAATTGGGGGCAGTGGAGGGACCACCCATCTCTCTGCACCATTTCTTCTTTACCTGTAAACACTCTGACCAGCCGCAGGCATTGATTTGGAACAGAGATTTGTGCAATTGTGTGTGTGAGGTGACTCCATGGGCTAGGTGAGCACCTCCAGCGCAGACCAAGATCCCAATCCAGTAGGCTCAGCAGTGCGTTTGCCTCCTTGAAGACACTCATTGCCTAAATCTAGAGCCTGGAGAACCACATAAAAATCAGCTGCGTGGGATCAGAGCCAAGGGACAGCAGACACTCAATGCCCCTGCACCTCTGAGTCAGAAGGGACATTTAGAGATACCAAGGCTGCAGAAGAGGACGCCAGATGAAGAAAGGGGTGGCCCTGCCGAATGCTAGCTCCCTCACGTTCACAAAAGCTGAAGTTAGACAGCCAAGGAAAAGCGACAGTAGCTGTGGTTTTATGGGGCCCAGGAGGGCAAAGGCTGGAAGTCAATGCATAAGTTGCTGCTTCCAATTGGAACTCCAGATTCCTGAGGGACTGACATCCTGCTTCCAGTTCCCTGACAAAGGGTTTGAGGCCTCAGTAGCTCTGTAGACAAAATAAGGCCAAAGTAATATTAGACAAAACTGGGGCAGAATTTTTCCTTTCCACTGTCAGAGGGATATGAGGAGCCAAAAGATCCTGCCTGTAATATTCAGTGACACTCCCAGGTTTCTGGCAATGGACATACAAGAGAAAGAAAAAAGGAGGCCCAAAATAGGGTAAAACTCATGGAGTTGCATTTTTGAGGGGAGTGGAAATGGGGCATGAGGATTATGATACATTCCTAAGCCCCCAGCTCAGTCATAACTAGAGAAAAAGCACATGATGACAAAATAAACTTCTTTTGGTGGCCTGGGCCAAATGTATGACTCTTGAGCCCTGTTCTTTCTTTGTATGTAAAATGAGGTGTTCCATAGACAGGAAATAAAGGGTGAATGGTACAGGAACCCATTGAAATGGGGCTTGGTATGTACATAGGTGATGGAACCTGGAGAGTGTCTTCAGTGATCGTAATCCCACCTTCCAAGAAGATTTTGTTCCCTGTCTACTCTTTGTCTTCATATTCCATTTGGTCTGGGAACACTATAGGAGACACACAGGAACCAATTCACTTTTGCAGGAATCCAGCTACTGAACCAAGACACACTCCATTCTAGAAGCTTCCAAGTAGATGAGGGTATTGAACAAAAGTAGGGCTGCTCAGCTCTTGGGGAAAGCAAGCTAAGAGAGAGTTTAAGCAATGTCAAGTTATTCAGGAATAAGACACTGATTCTTAGCAGTCCTTGTAAAAACCCCAGTTGCAGGAACCCTGACACTGACAGCTAAATGGACATATATAGTCTTAAACATCTCACTCTATGGAGTTCTGAGAAATGTTCTGCAAAAGAGCTTGTTTTCCAATGTACACAACTTCAACACAAATTAGTTACAACTTGCTTCCCAACATCCCACTAAATAATACTGTTCTCCATTTATTCTCGCCTTTATCTAACACTCCCCCTTCTCCTCGATACTCTTCCCCACATCAGTGTTCAGTGGTACAGACTCCGTCGGTGGAAGGGCAGAGGACAGGTAGGTGTGCAGCAAGAAAAGAGCATCGTGGGCCGAATCTCTAAACGTCTACTTTTGAGACTGCTGATTGAAACACATTGCCTTCAAACAGCACAGAGCTGGGTTCTGAAGCTGCTTGGGCTGTCTCTGCTATTCACTAAAAACAGATCGACTGAGACCCTCCCTCCCCCAACAGGCAACAACACGTATTCTCTCTCTCTCTCTCTCTCTCTCTCTCTTCCCTCCCTTCCTCTCTCTTCTTTTCTCTCTTTCCCTCCCTTCATCCCTCCCTTTCTCTCTCTCTCTCTCTCTCTCACACAAACACACACAATCCTTGTGCGCCGCCCCCCCCCCCCCCCCCCACACACCCACCCTTTTTTTTTTTTTTTTTAAGCAATGCTTTGTTGTGCTAAAACTAGTTGGACGAGTTAGGGTGTTGCTCTGCTCCCGAGGCCTGGCCAATGGAACCCGATCCACCCCGCTGTGCGTAAGCGCGCAATTAAGGATTTAACCAAGGCTGTGCTGCGCCTCAGCCAGCAGTCAGCCTGCGGGAGACAGAGCCTCCGCGACTCCCAGCCTCCTCCTCCTCCCCGCCGCCGCAGCCTCCTCCTCTTCCTCCTCCTCCTCCCTCGCTCCCACAGCCATGTCTGCTTAGACCAGAGCAGCTCCGCCGCCAATTCAGGCAGCAGCGGCCGCCGCAGCCCAAGGAACAGCCACCGCCCGGGAGCTATGACAGGGGTGTTTGACAGAAGGGTCCCCAGCATCCGATCCGGCGACTTCCAAGCTCCGTTCCCGACGTCTGCCGCCATGCACCATCCGTCTCAGGAATCGCCAACTTTGCCCGAGTCGTCGGCCACCGATTCTGACTATTACAGTCCCGCGGGGGCTGCCCCGCACGGCTACTGCTCTCCTACCTCGGCTTCCTACGGCAAAGCGCTCAACCCCTACCAGTACCAGTACCACGGCGTCAACGGCTCCGCCGCCGGCTACCCGGCCAAGACCTACGCCGACTACGGCTACACCAGCCCCTACCACCAGTACGGCGGCGCCTACAACCGCGTCCCGAGCGCCGCCAGCCAGCCAGGTAGGCGCGCGGGGGCGGGAGGCAGGTACCCAGGGCATCGTCACCCCGCGGGCGCGAGGTGGGGTTGGCACATGAGGGCTACGCCGTCCGCACACAGGGAAGGGTGCTTCGCAGAAGGGGGCCCGGGACTGCAAACAGGAGAGCGTCTATGCGCACAGGCAATTTGGGGAGTTTTCCGTGGAGGAACCTTGAAAAGGTTTTAATGGGGTGTTGTCCCTCCGGCGCCCCTCGGGGGGTCCCTCTTTAGATAGATTCCCAACTTGCCGAGCCAGAAAGCCAGCTTGGCTGGAGAAAGGATGGGGTGGGTGGGGGGAGGTTGGGAGAGAAGGAATCAGGCAGCCCCGGTGGTGTTTGCGTAATAAAAGGAAAGTTAGCTGGAACCCTGGGTGAGCGTGCTGGGTTGGTGAGATCCAGTCTGGATTAGCCCGGGAAGCGCCCCGAGGCCTCGCCGAGCGGGTGCCGGCAGCGCACCGGGTGGCCTGCGGGCCGGAGGGCTGCAGCCCGCCGGAGAAGAGCGAGCAGGGAACTGCGGTTTATCCAAGGCATTTGCAAATACAAAAAAGCCTTTTAAAATAGCGGAGGGTTGCCGAGAGGTCACGCCGTTGGAGGGATTTTTCTCCCCCCCTCGCTCTCCCGGTAGACGCCTAGAATCTGTCTGCCTCCTCCTTCCTCGGCGGCCTCCCTTCTCCGTCTACTTTGAAACTTCCTCCGAGAGTGACAGTGGGGTAGTGAGTTGGGGCGGTAAAGGAGAGGCGCGAGGTCTCGGTGGAAGCATTTTACTGGTCGGTTTTGATCTCTCCTCACCCGCACATTAGTAAGGCTGCTAATATTAGCATCCACTCGGGCCGAGTGGACCACAGCCCTCCCTTAGCCTTCACACACTCTCTCCTCCTTTTTCCAGGTCCTAGTAGGGGGAAGGAGCCATGTGGCCGAGGGGCATGTTTGCAAAACACTCGTTCCCAGGCCCCCCAGCGGTGTACATTTACAACAGGGAGCGTTTCTTCCAGGCTGCCTCCCCTTTACTACGAAAATATCTTTCCTAAAGATCCCCTTTCAATACCACTCCGACTGAACTTTGGGGGTCTGTTCCTCTCGCTGTCTCTGTATTCGCGCAGAAGGGGAAGATTTTTTTTTTTTTTTTTTTTTTGGCCAAGAACATATTAAGTCTGTTTGTAAAAGAAACCAGACACATCTGTGCCCTCGCAGATCTGCAGTGAGATTGTGGGGGCTGCATAATCGCCTCTCTGTCTGCCGCGGCCCCGCTGTCGTGAAGGAACATAGCTTGCTTGTAGGTCTTTGAACTTTGGAGACCTTGGCTAGCGTCTTCCCTGCCCCAGCGTCTAGCCTCTGCGGGCGCCCTAACAGACGCCGACAGAAGCGGGGTCATGGCCCAGGGCCTCCTCTCTTGACGCCCTGGGAGTGGTGTGGCTCTTCGCGTCCCAGAAACTCACGGGGTGAAGGCAGGGAGGGGAGAGAGAATGGGAGAAGGAAGCCTCGCTGAAGGGTCCCATCCCTCAAGCGAAGAAGCAGCCGCGGTGTACAAAGCGCCCCTGGCACGTAGGAGCCACCAATCTGGGACTCGCCGGCTCTTCTACGTATGATTTCATTGGGGTCTGAAAAGCCAAGGTGGTGATGTCGGGAAAGAGAGAGGTGACTACTTATTTAAAGACAAACAAAAGCTCAGTGATTTAACACCCGCCCCCCTCCCCGTGCAAAAGAGCCATTGTCTGCCCGGAAGCTCTAACCTGGTCTGTTTTGATTATTTAGAGAAAGAAGTGGCGGAGCCAGAGGTGAGGATGGTGAATGGTAAACCAAAGAAAGTTCGTAAACCCAGGACTATTTATTCCAGCTTTCAGCTGGCCGCGTTACAGAGAAGGTTTCAGAAGACTCAGTACCTCGCCTTGCCAGAACGCGCCGAGTTGGCCGCCTCTCTGGGACTGACGCAAACACAGGTAAATCCGGCCGCCGCCGGGGACGGCCCCGCCTCGCGGGCCAGCCAGCCAGCGAGCCAGCCAGCCGAGCAGGGCTGCTCGGGTCGGTCCCGGCTGGCTGGAGCCCGTTCTCCAGCGCTCTGCGGAAACCTTCGGTTAGATAGACAGCAGCCCCTGCAGCCTTCCCCGGACGGGCCAGGCCTGCTGTTAGCGACACGTGGCTGCGGGCGCGGGATCCGTCGTGTGTCACAAGTCCCCCCCCCCCCTGTCGTGTCCCCCCCCCCCCGCCAGCCCTGCTTTAGCCACCAAGGGCTGGGAATCAATGTTTTCGGGGGAGATGTGGATCCCTCTCGCGTTCTTGAGAAACGTCTTCACAGCGAGAAGCTTGCCAGGTTCTGCCGGTCTGGTGGTGGTCTCCGGCCAGGCGAAGGCCTGGCTCTTGTCCCCGTCCTGTCCCCTGGGGCTGCTGGGAGCTGCAGCAGCCCGAGGGGCGTGAGGTGGGGGGCGCTGTTGTACGAGGAAACCGTCCTGGATGGCCGTCCCCCCCCCTCCCCTCCCACCCTCACCTGCTGGGGCCTGGAGTAAAGAGCGCGCAGAGCTTCAGTCTGGCCTCCCAGCGCCGAGGGAACTGTAGAGAGCTGAGCAGGAGCTTGGGGACGCTCCCATTCCTTGGCACACTGCGCCTTCAGCCTGGCCCACGCCCCTTCCCTCTCCCCCGAGGGGCTCTGGCCTTCCAGCAAGAGTATGTGGCCTCCCGTTGCACTCGTGCCCAGGCCCACACATGCCACCAGGTCTAGAGCTAATAAACGACACAGCCTTTGGGGTCTCACCCAGGCTGAAGCCCGTGCGGGCTGAGCTGGCCAGGGCTCCCTCAGTGGACTCCGCTCCTCGCGTCTAGCAAAGACCTAAGCTGCAGTCTCCTGGCGACAGGCGACCAGCGGCTGGGAGATACCTGGGCAGGGTAGTCTAGAGGCCAAAAAGGCCTTCGTTCAAGGCCCAGGGGAAGGCGCGGGCAACCTCTGAGTGTCCCGGTAACGTGTGCCTTTGTTCCCCCACCCAGGTGAAAATCTGGTTTCAGAACAAAAGATCCAAGATCAAGAAGATCATGAAAAACGGGGAGATGCCCCCGGAGCACAGTCCCAGCTCCAGCGACCCTATGGCGTGTAACTCGCCCCAGTCACCAGCGGTGTGGGAGCCCCAGGGCTCCTCCCGCTCTCTCAGCCACCACCCCCATGCCCACCCTCCGACCTCCAACCAGTCCCCCGCGTCCAGCTACCTGGAGAACTCGGCTTCCTGGTACCCAAGCGCAGCCAGCTCCATCAATTCCCACCTGCCTCCGCCGGGCTCCTTGCAGCACCCGCTGGCACTGCCCTCCGGGACGCTCTATTAGGCGGGGCTGCTCTCTCCGGCTCCTTTTGGGGACTACAGTGTTTTGCTGTTTTAGAAATCAGAAAGAAAGGAATTCGTGCGGGGATGTTTGGAGAATGGAAACAAAAAAGATTCATGTGTAAAGCTTTTTTTTTTTTTTTTTTTTTTTTTTTTTTTGCATGTAAGTTATTGCGTTTCAAAAGACCCCGCCCCCTTTTTTACGAAAAGAACCTTTTTTTGCGCAACTGTGGACACTATCAATGGTGCCTTGAAATCTATGACCTCAACTTTTCAAAAGACTTTTTTCAATGTTATTTTAACCGTGTAAATAAGTGTAGATAGAGGAATTAAACTGTATATTCTGGATAAATAAAATTATTTCGACCATGAAAACGGTTCCTTTTTGGCCCCTTGATAACTGGCTAGTGGGGTTATATGCACACTATTAAGAACAGACAAGTTCTCCAGAAATCCAACAATGCAAAACAGAAGTCAGGAGCTGCGTGGTTACAGAAGTGTGTTTGTGTTGGACGCTGTGTTTTATGTATCTGTCTGCACATGTGGCCTGTTTATAGTACTGTCATGTTTGGGGTGTTTTCACTCCTAACCACAAAACCATTTAAATGATATTAAATATAACTCCCAATTGTTTCGGGTAGAAAGGAATATTGAAATTAAGTACCTTTCTCCTGCTGCGTGTGAGGAAGAAGGCAGCAGAGAAATCCCTGCATACCCTGGAATTCTAAGCTTAACGTGATTCTGGTGGGAATCCCCTCCCCCACCGGCATGTGTATCGCAATTAGGCAAATTACGGTCCTTTTGAAAGGAGCTTCCCAAGATGTGAAAGGAAAAGAAAAGAAAATCTGCTCCCATTTCTATTGTTTTTTTTCTATTATATTTCTATTTTCTAATATATTTTCCATATATTTCTATTACATTTTTTTTCAAAAATATGAAATGTTTGTGGCATAGTAAGCGATAGCTTAAGCCCTGGACTCCTAATGATTTTAAGTTTGACCAGGTCCTTTTAGTCAAGAAAATACCTTAGGGATTGAGAACAATGGTGAAGCCGAAGCACTAAGGCTAAACAAGGAACATGGGGTACGGAGCATTCCTTTAAAAGAAGAAGAGGAGGAGGAAGAAGAGGAGAAGGGGGGTGAGGCTCTGTATTGATTTCATTTCATCTGAGATAATGTTCTTAATATAATTGTCTTTCACCGCCGTTAGTACTTCATGGTTCTTTCTGAAGCAGCCCCCATCCCCCATCTGCTTTAATAGAAAGCAGTGGCGACACTAGCTCTACGTCGTAGGAAATGGGATGTTTGCTGGGATTTCTTTGTGCAGCCATCTTTTAAGGCAGGCATGTAGGGGTTGCAGCTACCTGGCCCTTGACTTGTCCTTTCCTTACTCCTTTGCATATAGATACCTGGACTGTGCCCAGAACTACAGCCTGGGTCCAGAGCTATGCTCCCAGGCCTGAACTACAGGCATCTTTGTACCTGGCTGTCCTTTAGTCCACCTAAGTCTATTTCCTTATGACACCATAGAAATATGCAATGTTGGAAATTATTAGATTTATGGGAAGTGTTCCACAGCTAGGAAGTCAGACACAATAAATGTAACAAAATGAGCCCTCTTGGGGAGGGAGGATTAGAACGTAAAAACTGTATCCTGTCATCTGAGGGTGTCAGAGAGGACCCTTCCAGCCCTGAGAACTGAAAAGGCAAGCTGTGTGCCCTTGGGCCACTTAACAGTCAGTCTCTGTCTCCTCCCTTCCTACTAAACTGCTGTCTCCGTTTCTTCTCTTTTCTTTTTGCTTTTCCTTTCTTTCCACAGGTGATAGCAAGATCACCAGTTCGGACTTTGGGGGTGGCCAAAGTACACTTCCAGGCAGCCTGGGCTATTGAACCCTGGGTAAACAGGCGTACACCTCCAATTTTCCTCCCTGCCCTCACTCTACTCCATCTGTGGCTGGTGGAGATGTTAGGGGAGGCCCCGGCCCCATTTTGCTTATCGCAGTGACACGGAGTGGACTGAGGAAAAGAGATGGAGGTGTCTGATTTTTTTTTCTTTGTTTCTTTGTTCCTTTCTCCCTTTCTTTGCAAAGATTTCGGTGACTTTCCGATGTCCATGGTCCTGTCCCCATCCCAGAGTGTGTGTTTGGACAGGTTAGGTGGGGGGGAGAGCTCACCCACAGCACACCCCTGTATTTCCCGCCCTCTGGTTTCCCAAGAGTGTGAAAAATGTGCTTGTAACAAGCTCTTTCCATTTTGGCACTTGAAGAGGGTGGATGTCATCTCCCGGCTCCCGTTCCTGGTGGAAAGGGGTGTGCACAGTTTCTTCACTGCCTCCGACCCCCAGACTCAGCCAAGCCAAGCGGAAGGCAGGGTGGGTCCAGACTCCTCTTCTCAGGGAAAGAGGGATGCTTTTGAATCACCACCTTCACCCCAAGCTGGGAGCATTGCTGGTTGTTAAGGACACTAAAGGTGGTTTGCTGAGAGACCAAAAGCCCAGCGCAGCGGAGTGGGGTTGGGGTTGGTGGGGGGAGATGAGGGGTCTTAGGATTCCTTCCCTGAGCTTACTCCACTAGCAGTGATCTCTTGTCTTGAGAGTTTTTTTTTTTTTTTTTTTTTTAACTTGGTTGGGGAGCGGCGAACAAAAATATTCTGGCAAGTGAGTCGCAACGGGCTTTCCTGGCACGGCAGGGATTCTCCCCGGGGAATTTAACTCCCTGCAGTCCTGCGCCCAATGATGTAAAAATAACAGATCTCAGCAAAGTCTAAAAATATCTGTTTCTCTTGCCCTCGCTCTCACCTTCCTTTCCTCTCCATTGTTTTTTCCTGTATGTAACAAGAGCACATCGTTCCTCCAATATTTTGGCTCTGGTAGACCCCACTCACCCTGGACTTAAAGCAAGAGTCGCTTTTGCCTGCCCATTCTGTCCTCTCTGTCTAATGCCCACAGACCTCGGAATTAATTCTCCTTACAGTGGCATACACACACACACACACACACACACACACACACACACACACACCATCCAATACTTTCAATCTCCATCTTGAGACCTCCCAGCAAAGCCCAGGAGGCCTAGGGCATGTTGGCAGGGCTTGAGTGATTTCTTCGGTGCCCTGCCCGACTCCTGGGCTCTCCTGTAGAAGATCAGATAAATTGGCCTTTTGTTTGAGGCTTGGGTTGGGCTAGGCGGGTTTCTACCCCCTTTCTCCCCCTTTTTCCTGGCGGCCACCTCCTTGTGGGACAAGAGGCGGCCCGGGGATCCGAGGGAAGCTGCATTCCTGTGGGTGCCAGGCCGCTCCAGTGCTGAGCCACAGGGCCTGAGACACACACACTGAAGAACCCGCAGACCTCGTTACCCTTGATCTCACTCTCTTGCTTGCTCTTTCTCTCTCGTTGGGTACCTTCCCGGGAGCCCGTCCACTCCCACTGGGATCCACCCCAGGGTTCGGCCTTGCATAGGAGAGCTTTGACCCACACAAAGACGTGCAAGCATCCCCTCCCAGCGACACCGGCCAGATCAGCATCTCTCCGCCTAAGGACAACCCTCTCTCTCCCGCCCCTTATCCCACAACCCAGGGCGCGCCGGCTAGCCTCCTAGGGTTCCTTTGATCGCTCCGAACGCCCAGTGGCTCGCGGCTTCCTGGCTGTCCTTTTCAGAGTCACCCACAGCGTGCCTAGGCCAGGCATCCAGGAGCACTGCGGCCTCCACAGCTCAGTATCCCTCTCTCTCTCCCTCTCGAATGGCCCTGGCTGCCTGCTGAAAACTGTTCTGCACTTCCCCCTCTGCTCCTTATTTCCTGTTGTTCCCGAAGAGGAACCTTTAGGACTACTCAGCCACCCCCTCCCGGCCCCATCTCCGCCACCTTGTGGGTCCAGCGCCTCCCACTGGCCACTGGGAACTGGCCAACCCTGAGCTCTCCAGCCCTCCGGTAAGGCACACCCTGAGGGCAGTAGCTCGGAGACACCGCTGCGAAGTGCGCCACGCGCGAGGGCCAGCCCGAGGCCACCCATCTCCTCCACTCTCAAGCACCCCTACCCTATTTGCTGGGCGCAGGCTCCCACCGCCTAGGGAGGAGGCTTTTGGCTAGCTCCAGTCCCCTGCTCCCCTTCTTCACCGGTTGCCCGCCGACCCAGTCCCGGTCCAAGCAAAATTTGGGCCTCGAAAATAGCCCAAATCTCGGCGTTTGGGCTACCCTGGCATTTTCTTCTGCCTCTGACAGGCTTTAGATTTCTTGGAGGTGCAAGGAAGAAAGTTTACAATGTACCCACTGCCCGAGGTCTGAGGGGTTGAGGGACGGAGGACCCTTCCCTTTCACTGAGAGCTGCCCGCTGTAATGTAATAACCTACTTTATCCTTTAGTTCTAACCGTGAAGATGGAAACTGAGAATTTACTCGAGTCTGTCTCTGGAAAAGAGGAGGGCCTGATTTTTACAGAAATTAAATGTTTCTGCGCTGTTGTTCTCTTGGACTTCCGATTTATGGGGTTCCGAATAGATCTCTTTGCCAAAAGCACATGTATTAATTGAGTCTGTTCCACATCCTAAACCGAGATTTATGTAAAACCGTGAAATACCACACGTTACGACCTTCCACCACAGGAAGAGGGGGAAAAGGGCTTCATGACCTTCTATGTCTCTCTCTCTCTCTCTCTCTCTCTCTCTCCTGGTTACAGTAACAATTCTCTGGTGGAATCCACCATACACAGTCTGTTTTGTTTTGTTTTTTAAGAAGTGGGTGGGAATGCGGGATGGTAAACAGTATCCAAGCTATGATTTATTTTAAAGCATTTTTTTTCCTTGAAAGGCGTGAAAACAGAAAGTGTCGGGGGAAGCTTATTGTCATCCTAGGACTATTTCTGCCATTGCAAGGTGGGGGAAGAGGGGAGGTGGAGTGGGAATGCAGGGTATGGACTCAACTTTCATTTATAAGCAGGGGTCACTAAACAGGGGACATTTCATTATTGCCCTTAAATTCACAGGAGCCAGGGAGCCTGCTTGCCACCCTGCAGGGTAGCCCAGGCTGGGCAGCTCCTGGGTCTGTAAGGTAGGTAGGTGTTCTTGGGAGGAGGGAGAATCAACACAATTGGCCTAAAGACTGGGAAAGAAGCCCAGGAAATTCTCTGTGTTCCACCTGGAAAAACTGAACTCCTAGGACACAAGATCTTTAGGTCTTTAATCCAGAGGTGTCTTTACTAGGGCAATGGCCATAACCCTCACATGGTTTGCCTCTGGGAGCTACATGGGTTCCCCCAACGTCTCTCCAGCTCTCTCACTCTGATTCTCCCACCCCTTTTCTGCTCTGTCCTCTTCTGTTTGAAGGTGATGAGGAACTTGCCCTATTGGGCATACCGTGACATAGAAGCAGCCAGGCTGATTTATTTGGGGAAGTTTTAATTAACGAAGTTAATGGTGGAATTAAAACAAAGAGTCAAACCAATTGAAGATGGCAACTTCCCAGTTGGTCATATTTAATTAACATCAATTAATACATGGTTAGCTAATATCCTCTAGGAACATTAGAGCTTCTTCATTGTAAAAGACAGCCAAGATGGAGGGCAGAAACACTTCACAAGCGGGCAGGCCATTTTGCTCTGATGACAAGAGCAATTGCAAATTCATTTAAGGATATGTTCATAAACAAGTGACAAGCATGTCCTGAGGTGGCTTTGGTGGAAACAATGGTGAAACCGAGGAATGTTCTTTGTTGTGGGGGAGGGGCTGTGGGGGAAGGGCTCCTTTAAAAGTAGGGAAATGCTTTGGTGAAGGGAAGAAAGACAGGAGTATTTTTTTTTTTAATTATTTGAGACTGCAGGCAGTAGCCGCAGCCTCTGCAGACGCCCCATCTCTACACTGTTGAAGATTTGGACACATAATACTTCAGATCGCTGATTTGCTATTTTCTTAATTCTGGCTCTTCTTTTTCCATATGAATCAAACAGTCTTTTGTCCTTCAGGGTTTGATTTGCTCGCTACTGTTCACATTTCACTTTTGTATTTTTCTCTTCCTATACCATTACTCATTGAGTGCCCCGTGAAATTACAATCGTACATTTTCAACTCAGCAACCCATTTGCAGTGCAAAAAAAATAGGGTCTAAATAATGGCTGAATTAGCCCTACTGGACAGTTTCAGATGTAACACTCTGTAATAATTATATTGCAGGCGGGATTAGGATGCTATTATCATAATCTGGACGTTTACAATTATCTGTAATTTGCAAAGATGCGCCAGGTCTTGATTACAGCAGCTTTTTTTTTTTTTTTTTTTTTTTTTTTGTATCACGCTAACCATCACTAAACAGTGACAGTAATAACAGCTAATTTTGCTGGCAATATAAGAGGTGCTGGGGTGTGCAAACAATTTCACACCTGGATGTGCTCACTCAACCAAGAATATAGAGACAGAGCTTCTGCCCTGAGACTCAGAAAAATACTCTCCTGTGCTTCGGCTCAGTATAGATTTCTAGACCCTGATCATTGCTTAAGGGATATTCACTGGGGTAAGTTTTTATTTCTGGCATACTTCTAGGCACTGTTTTTATTTCTTGTCTCCCACTGTCTAAGCTGTATATAATTTGTGATTTACTAGAACTGAAACTTTGTCTACTAGGTTTTGATTCTGACCTTTAATTTTCCTTTAACAGTAAAAGAGTTGATCTGGTGAAAATAGGATCCTTAAGAACCTGATTTGCCTGACTCGCTTCTGTGCAGCTGATATGTCCGGTGTAGTTTGTGGCCAGAGAGTATGAAAGGAGCAGTTTTCGGTGAGGTGTGCAAGGAGCCTGAGAGTCCACGCTAAAATCTATCTGAAAATTGGTACTTGCAATTGAGCTTAGGTAAATACATTGAGGCTTTTTACATTCGGCCATGATTTTAGGTTTTGAGGCATCAAGAAATCAAAAAAGAACTGGCTGTATGGCTTGCTTCTTCGCAGTCAGGTATGGGGATGGGTGTTAGCAAAAGCAGGTGTGCCAGAATCTCTGGGCTTTGCAGCCCTTTAGACATCTTCTCTCCAGCTGGAGGAAACTTTGTAGAACAGCTGCCATCTGAAGCCCTTCAAGGCTGTTTCTTAGGGCCTTGCTTCGAGCTGTAGTGTGTGTGTGTGTGTGTGTGTGTGTGTGTGTGTGTGTGTGTGTGTGTAATGGGGGAAGGTATCCAAGTCTTGGAGCTTATTGCCCACTGAACCCTGGGTTGAGAAGGGCATGATTGGCTGAGACACAGGACTGACAACATCTGAAGCCAAGGTACCAGTCTAGTCTATGTGCCAAGGAAGATACTGGCAAGGAGCTGTGCTGTTCTAGCTAGAGATGTTGCTGTTTCCTGACCCTGTAGATTTTATGAGCAGCTAGAAATAAAATAGTGTAAGATTCCACAATGTCTTTGATTTCCCCACCCTGCAGAGAAAAGCTTTTCTATAGGTGGCAAAAACTTTTGCATTAAGTTGTGTCCAAAGGTCACAAGGTGCTTTTATTTTCTTAGTGAGGAGGAGAAATGGTGTCTCTCCTATATCCCTACCCAATAGCTATGTTCCCCACCCCCACCCCCTTAGTATAGTCAGAACAGAGCTCCGGTACTCTACAGCCTAGTGGGAAGTTTGAACGTAGGGAGTAGACACCTCAAATGGCACCGCCTTTCACCCATGCTCCTCCTACCAATCCCTCCCTCGGGAACTAGTTTCCTAGGGGGTCAATACATTTTTTTTAAAAAGACAGAAAATATTAACCCTTGAAGTTCAGGGGATTCAGTGGGAGCCCAGTTCTAAGGGAAGTTCCAGGGGGACATCTGATAGAATCTGTGTAAATAAGCTCATGTTAAGTAAGAGATAGGGAGGAATGCAAAAACATCATCACTCCACATCCAACATAGTAACTAACATACATTTTCTGGGTTTCAGAATTCTACACGCTCATAGTGGTTTGGCATATATTTAGTGATTTTTTTTTTTAAAGAAAAATTAGTGTTGGTTTCGATATATGGTAGCTTTCTCTCTAACATAATTTGAATAATTCAGCAAAGCCCCACTACCAGCTGTACTGCTGCAGCCTCTTCCATTCTTTTCAGCATTATAATTTTGGTTAATTTTCAATTTTAGGTCCTACGTCTCTGCAATTTGTGTATGAATAACAGAATAATTTCCCTCTTTTGTTTCGCCTTTCCTGTTCCTGAATCTAAATAAAGATGGCTTTTTAGTATTAAAAGTGGAAGAAAATTACAGGTAATTATCTTTGACGGTAAAAACGCTGTAATCAGCGGGCTACATGAAAAATTACTCTAATTATGGCTGCATTTAAGAGAATGGAAAAAAACCTTCTTGTGGATAAAAACCTTAAATTGTCCCCAATGTCTGCTTCAAATTGGATGGCACTGCAGCTGGAGGCTTTGTTCAGAATTGATCCTGGGGAGCTAGGAACCCAAAGTTTCACAGTAGGAAGGGGGAAAAAAGAAAAGAAAACATTTTTCCTAATGTAACAATGCGAATGCTAGAAAATGACAAGACTGATCGGTTTTAAACCATTCTGAAGACTGACTGAGCGTGGAAGTTGCTCAACAAAAAAAGGAACGGGTATATTGGTAAGTAGTCTTTGCTTTGTGTCTAATTATAGTGACTGTCCTTTTGCACGACTGTATGTCGCTGTCATTATATGGAGCACTCTGAGTATCTCTATTGACTTCTGATAAATGGCTCAGTGGTTTCAAGGTTCATAATTTGAAGGATGCCCAGGTCTGTAGCCATTAATTCTCACAGTATGGGGCTTCCTGCTTGTATGACGAAAGGACTTTTCATTTTCATTATTTCTTTGCTTTCCACGAGATCGGAAGGATGTGTTTCTTGCAGGATAGTGCATTTTCCTACCTCGCTAGCTTGCTATAGGTTTTCAACATTAAGTAATCAAAACTGTGCACTTTGCTTTCTCGGTTTGTTATTCTTTCCTCTTTTTACTTTAAAAAAAAAAACCCTGCTTCTAAAGGCAAATATAACTGTACTGTTTTAGCTGGGAAAAGGAAAAAGAGAATATTCAGATGCAGTACTGGAAGTGGCTGGATGTCTGGAATTTAACCTGGGAATAGGTTATGCTAATGTTTAAAAATACAAAAATGTGTATGAATCACAACAAAATTAAAATGAAAGGCGGAGAAAACATCCAGGGCTCACACAACCATGCTCGTGGCAAACTAACACCCCTTCAGGTGCTGGATAAGTATGGTACAGCACCCCGTAGTGGGAAACAAAAATCATTTTAGGAGAGGTAAGAATATATATGTGTATATGTATATATACAATGGAAGAGGAGGAAGGATGGAAAGATAGAGACACATGGAGAAATAGAGGACGCTCCCAACATTTTGTGGCTTTTACTCCATATATGAAAGAAGACAAAAACATACAAAGTATATATACAACTAAAATTCAACAATATATACAGAAATGTTTCTTGATATAAACGTCCCTATTAGCTTAGTGAATGCCACTATTCACCTAGGAAAGGTGTCAAAGCAATAGAATGGTGATTTTGGTTGTTTCCTTGGTCTTTCTCGGTTCCAGTTCAGAGTTTGGAGGTGGGTTATTCAAAAAGCATTTGTTGCTGTTACTGTTTGTATTTAGTCGAGTCATCATTCCTGGTCATTGCATTTTGATAAGACATGCAGTGTTTCCTTTGTGGCAATGTTTTACTTTTACAGCCAAATTGTCTTCTTTCTTTGGAGAAGGGATATTGAGGAGGTGTTCCTTCCCTCCTCCTCCTCCTCCTCCTCCTCCTCCTCCTCCTCCTCCTCCTCCTC